GGGACAGCTACACTACTTGAAGAATTGTGTTGAAGACTATGAAAAACATGCTCAAGGCTTAAACTGTGCTGCCTAGAGCCAACAAGATACAAGACATGCCTGCTCAAGAAGGATGCATTTCAGCAGTACCCCTAATTTTAAACCCTTAAATAATAGTTTCCATTTTCTTTTCCATTACCCCAATATAACCCCCCACTATAACCCCAATATAACACCTAATTTTGGGAAACCCCTATATGACTTTGCACCGTGCTGCCAGGCCGTTCCCTACAATACGGTCCGGACGGGATGTAGAAGTCAGGAGGTCCCCCACTCGTACTATAGTCCGCCTTAAGTAGATAGAACATGATAGAACATGGGGTGCATGGAGGTCTTCTTATAATGTACCCAAAGCCATACTCTATCTACTTAAAGGGGACTTTAGATTGCTCAGCGCGCAGAACTCCCATGCTTCTTTTGCTGCCTGGCCCGCTTAACTCCTAGAGCGCAGTACCAGGACAAAACCAAGGCCCAGCAAACAAATCAGCACAGCTCGCAGGGTGGCCTTGCGGCTTTGGGCTCTTTCAGTTGAATCCTGTCTAATAGAAACAGCCTCGAGCCTGGGAAGGCCCTTTGCCCGAATGCTTCGCCAGTACTCGTAAAGATCTCTGCCGGACTCTGGGGCCTGTCCCTCCCAGCTCAGAAACTTCGCAGGTAAGGCAGTGGCCTGTGGATCCTGTCGTTTCCGCTGAAGTACTAGGATCACACCCGTTGTTGCACGAGTAAGCGCAAAGCTGCGCTCTGCAGAAAGTTGCCATGCCTTGTCTGAGTGCTGCAGGGCTGTCTTCAACTTGGGCAATATGCTGCGGCTCACGAACAAAACCACTCTGCCGCTTGGGCGGACCACACGGAAAATCTCCTGCAGCATCCGCCTGTAGAAATCGACTATGTTACCGTGAATGCCAAACTGACGATTCCAGGGAGGGGCTACTACCACCTTATCAACCGAATCGTCTCGCAATGGTATGCCACAGCTCTCAGTGGTGTTGGCTTGGTGTAGCACAACTCTCTGCCTTGTGCTGGCAGGTCATTTGCTGGCACTTGCCAGTGTTGCAGTGCAAGTTTGGGACTTGGGGGTTTTGCAACAAAAGACGCTGTAACCGCAGCTGAAATTCCCAAGTTGCTTGAGCCACGCAAAATTCTGCCGACACTTCTCCAGCTGCTCCGAATCCACATCACCTGAACATCTCCCTACTTGCAGGTTCAGGGACACGTGGGGTGAAGTAAACAGGTCACGAGAGTAGTCACTGTACCTGACTCCTGCTACACCTAAACCCAAAGCTGTTGAAATGCTGCCTACAGGACGCCAGGGCCCTGTACCCTGCGAGGGCAGGGGCAATCTAAAAAAAACACAAGGCTTGTGGGAAGGAATAATGATGGGATTGGTCCTTATACTCCAGCTATGACTAGCTGAGTTCCGACCACTGCTGGCCTATGAACCCTACGCACTCTGTACCCCTAAACTAAACCCTTAACCCTAAACCCTAAATAGTGGCCTCCATTCCCTATATAACCCCAATATACTATAGTCTCTCCCAAACCGACAAGGTGGCAGCACACGAAGCTGACGTTCGGCCACCACACTGCGGCCTAGAGCATTGAATTGATGGCAGCTGGTACGGAATGGAGGGAAAGAATATAGAGACTATTCTAAAGGAAAATGCTAGCTAGCGATCAGGCAGACTGCTTTGAGCATTTTGGGGGTATGGGCTCTGCAGAAATCAGGTGTTCCTCTTGATGCAGCCTTATCATAGCGGTCGTATTGTATTCCCTGAACCCTGAACTCTACATATATATATATATACATACATACATACACCCTCCGTTCTCGGAGAGCCAATGTAGCTTCGGGGACCTTAGCCACAGACAAGCACCTTCACCCATCACAGCATTCCTTTCGAAAAGAAGCCCTCGAACCTAAACCTGGTTTTATGGTCCCCCTCAAGTAGACAGAATATAGCTTTGTATATATCTTTAATGAGATCCCCAGATACCCCAGTTTCTATCTACTTCAAGGGGACTATAGTGTTTAGGGTGTCTTCACGTGCCCTAAAATACCCTCCAAAACTGCAGAAGCGGCCTCAGCCAGGATGGTGCCCTTGCCGCACATCGGGTCCAAAACCATCTCCTGGGTTGACGTTAAGGAATCGGGGGTTTAGGGTTTAGGATTTAGGGTTTAAGGTTTTAGGGCTTAGAATTTAGGATTCAGGGTTACTGTATTATCCCGCTATAAATTGAGAATCAAATGGAAAGGATATGGAAAATGAAATGGAAAATGTAATGGAAAATGAAATGGAAACTGGGAGGAATTCAGTGATTTAAGGAACTTAATTTAAGTTACTATACTAGGGGAACCATATTCATTACTATGTATATCGCCATGTGACCCCTATATTATGGTAACTTAAAGTTTCTTAACAGCAACCCAGTCTCCCCAGGCTCCAGGTCCAAGCTTCTGGCAATTGCCCATGCTTCCACGTGGTGCATCCCCTGAGGCTGGGTTGCTGTTAAGGAACTTAAATTAAGTTACCATAATATAAGGCTCATATAGGGATAATGGAAAGTAGAATGGAAACTACTATTTAAGGTTTAGGGTTTAGTGTGGCTGTTAAGGGACTTTAGTTAAGTCACCATGATATGGGTGTATGGTAGATAATTTCCTTATTATGTTACTTTGAAAATGTCCTTAACACCTCAGCAGCTGCTTGGAGGTTCGGGGCAATGATGACAACCAAGATAGAAGGGTTATAGGGCGTTTAGGGTTCAGGGCGATTATGACCCAATTACCATGTGTACCAATAACCCAATCATAACCCTTTAGGTCACTCAAGGAGTTTCGAAGTGGGCTCTAAGTACAATTGTGTTTACATTATAATGGCCCTGAACCTGCAGGTGGGAGTTGCCTGACTTAACAAGAGAAGCGCCACAAGGCCGAGGCTTGGGCCGTAGCTTTGTGCATCCCTACACACACTATGGCATACTATGGACATGGCTATGGAGGCCGTGGCGCTATTCTGAGGTCTGTAGCAGCCCCAAAACTGTTTCATCTCATATTGGGGTCGAAATTGGGGTCTCCCCGTTGAGCAGTTGCTAAGCGAGGACCCCAGGGCTCCGGCGTTCGACTTCCTGTCTTATCCGGTCAGGGTACACAATATACAAAAGCCCATTTAGCTTCATGGTAGGGCTTTCTGGACATTTGCAACCTGATGGGTAGTGCAAAGTAGGGTAATAATGTTAAAGCAAAGTTATCAGTCGGGTACAGGCTGTAAGCACAGAACTTATGACAAGAACATCTGACCCCATCATCAGCTGCCCATCACCCTGATAGAGCGTCATCCATAACACTCTAAATCCCAAACTGAACCCCAAATCCTGAATCCTAAGCTTCAAAACCCAATCCCGTACCCCAAATGGTGTCCTGGTATGGGAAGCCTCCGCCAAGCCTTGCTGCATGCTGCTGGAGGATCGGGACCTCAAGGGTTTTTTTCCCTTCTTCGCTGGGCCTGCAAAAAATGGTTGTCCGGTGCCATTTAAAGATCTGAACCCGAGATCTAGGCATTCTGGCTATGAAACTGGAGACCAAACGGACCGACGGCAGAAGTCGCTCTCCAGGGGCAGGTTATTAGCCAACACTAATGTAGACCCGTGATTGAACAAACCCACCTTTTAAGGGCCTTACTGTTGGGATCCCTATGATAAGCCCCATTAAGGGGTGGATGGTTATTAATCAGGGGTCTACAATAGACCCTAATCCCTAAACTGATAAAACCCCATTATAATAATTTCGATGTTCTTTTCCATTATCCCTATATAACCCCAACCCTAAACCCTGGGCTATACCTTCCTCTCCGACCTTCGTCTACCCCAAGCCGTGCCTCCGAGCCCTACCGGGGGGTCACTATCCAAAGCCTGGCAGGAAACCTAAACTTCTTTCCATTCTTCCCTACATGGTTAGGGTTTAGGGTTTGAACCCTCAACTCCAATCCATTCTTCCCTGCATGGGGGCTTCCTAAAAAGTGAGGGGTGCCGTTTTGCGGGATGCCAATAATAAGGATTATAATATTTTGGGGGTCTATACTGGGGGTCCCTATCTTAGGAAACTCCCATGTAATCGCTACATATGCCAATATAAACTCCAACAATTTATAGTAATTTCCATTTTCTCTTCCATTATCAGCTATGTAACCGCCATATATGCAATCAGCCTCCAGAAGAAGCCTCCGCCCATCCACATGCAGGTGCACCGAGAGGTCAGCTGATCCTCACAACAATGGCATGGAAACTACTAGAGTATATAGGGGTTATATTCATGAAAACCAGGAAGCACCATAAGCAACCCTAAACCAAAAATTAAGGGAAGTTCCAGATAAAAAGTTACCAAGTGGGTACCCCCTAAAACACAAACCCTACACCATTAAACCCTAAACCATATAATGTTTATACGGGCAGGAGGACCTTGGGTACCTTGCGGGCGTGCGGCGCCCTCGACCTTGCGAAGTCCAGCCAAAGCGGCGCTGCAAACGAAGCCTCGCTTAAAAGAAATGAGGTGGGACCCAAAAAATTGGACCTGAAACGGATATCAATGCATCTCATCTGCATAATCCATGTAAAATCCCTGTTTAGGTACTATTGTCCCTTGCAAAACCTACGGGTCCAACCTACAATGGTTTGATTTCTAGCTTTTTGGACACGCTGCCTCAGTGGCTGAGGACTTAAAGTACAGCTTATAAATATGCATTGGAGTGTGGGCTTAGGGTTCAGGGTTTGGCCTTCTCAGGTTTAGGGGTGCAGGGATTAGGGTTTGAGGGCTTGGGGTCCAAATTTGTGTCTTAGGGTTTCAGGTTCAGAGCTTCAACATGCACATGGCTGAAAGCAAAAAAAAATCATGGCAGACAGCACCGTCCACCTCAAAAGCAGTTCAATACTGGAAGAGATGGTTTTTTGTGTATACCTTTTTTCCCGTAACGCTAAAACCTAAGCCCTTAAAAAAGAGGACAACCATTGTTCTGCGGGTTGAAAAGGGATTCTATTTGTAAGAAATAACAAAGGCTCAGCAATGCAAAGCTTCCGGATGTTTACGGTTTCAGGGTCCTTGGAGGCTTTACTCTAAAACCCCACCGCCGTGGAAACAGATACTCCCCAATTTCTAAAAGGGACTATGTAGCGGGTGAATCCATTATTCGGGGGTGGGACATTTTTTCGGCTCTGTGGCACTTATGGTTTGTGGTGTAAGGTTTAGGGATTAAGAAATTCGTGGGGCTTGCAAGAACGTTAAGTTTCGGAGTTGATTATTCGGGTTTGGAGTGCATGGATTAGGGTTTAGGGGAAGGGGTTAACGCATAACGGGAGTTGAAGTTCATTCACCGCAAAAACCTACGGAAGGACAGAATGAAGCAAAAAAAAGAAAAAGAGAGCACTTACAACACCTCTTTCCGCGAACTAGGATTTCATGAAACATCTACTGAAAATGACATTATAAACTCTTCTTCCCGGGCTTCCTGAATGACCTGCGCCGAGATTGATATAGTAGTCTCTCTATAACCCATCATAATAATTTCCAACTTCTTTTCTATTCCTTCATTCGCAGGTGACCAAAGGCCAGAAAAAAACGCAGGGAAGACTGAAGGCTGCCCCTGAGAAGCCCAAGTTCGCGGTGTAAGCCGTGGGCAGGGTCGGCACCAATAAGACGTGCCAGTTGCTTGAACTGCCTGCTCACCACACCTGGGCCATTTGGAGGTTTAGGGTTTACGGTTTATGGTTTAGGGTTTAAGGTTTATTATTTGGAAGTGTTCATGCACATGTGGCCTCAAGATAGATCCCAATATTTAAGTCCCGTTATGAGGACTGCCGACAAGGAACCCCAGAACGTTGGAGACGGGGTTGGCGAAATCGCCCTTGTAAACATCCTGAGTGATTAAGACCCCATGCCACCTGAGGCCCTGTTTTTGAGCAAGCCCCATTGGACCGACTCCTTCAGCAGGGCATGTTGGAGTAAGGAATTTCAAGGATGAAATGGATTTGCAGGGACTTACCTGTGGCACGATAAAGTGAGATAACGCCCACATTCTCTGTGCGCCCACTACTCCTTGATGAAACAGGAATGTACCCCAACTCGTATTGGGACCTTAATATGATTGAAGTTCTATTCTCTAATGAAAGGGCGTTGGGCTCCTTGGGTA